GGGGGGGGGGGGGTTGTATGAGCGTATAAACGTACATTTTTGTTACAATTCTAAAGCATTCTGTAAATATATCCTTCAACACAATTATACACCAATGAACAAGAAGAAGGGCAAACAACCTGAAGGAATGCACAGACGTAGCTGCATTTTGATTAACAAACACCATCGTTTGAAAATATTCACTTTTGAAAAAACTTTTGGACTTGGTCTTGATCGCTTGGTTGTCGTGGTTCCCCGACATCAGGTAAAAAAATATTCGAAGAAATACCACCCCAAATAAGTAATAGGATAAAATGTAACTCGCACAGGGTTGTAGGTTGCTACTATTTGATCTGACTTCTTCTCGTTCACTGTGTTCCTCCTGTCTGTCTGTCTTACTCAGTGGCTGACGGTGTAAGAAAAAGATTGAACAAAAAACAACAACAACAACAAAAAAACAAACAAACAACATGCGCTAGTGGCCACTCCCGTGAGACAATAAAATATACACCAGATACATTTAAATGTATTTTTGTTCACTGAGTTGTATCGCCTCGACCCCATTTTCTTCCTAACTCCACCTTGTTTTATCCTTGCATTTCTTACCCTGACAAATAAAAATATAAATATTTTCACCACGGACAAACACTTTTCAAATTCCCTGTCTTATGCCAGCTTCTTTACATTATTCCATGCCTGCCCACCTTTCTGTTTACCAGCCTCCTTTTTTAAATTTCCCAAATTAACAACGTTGTCTGTCCACTAACACTTACAACCACTGAAAAAGACAATTATATTTCTATTGTCTCCACTTCCTTTCTTATAAAAATACATGCCCTCCCCTTTTTCTTTCTTCACAGGCTGAGAGACAAAGAAATCAGAGCGCCACGGCAGGCTCACTGGACAAAGGCGGCTCTAAGCCGCCAAAACGGGCAACCAACAACTCACTGGCGCCTTTTTACACACACGAGAAGCGCACGTGCGGCTACTTCTTCTCTCGTGAAACGGACAACCGGAAGAGGAACTTCGGCATCCCTCCCAGCGACCTCGTGGCATGGCGATCGAGCAACCCCGTTCAGTGACCAGAAAAACACTAACCAATCCTAAATCTTCCGCCAGAATATCGTCATAACAGTATTTTTTGTCCGTATGTGCTCCATTTCCTCTCCTTCCTCTAATATAATATATTACAATGATTTTACCGAAATGATGCTAGAAACTGGAAAGTCTTCAATTTGTTTCTGTATTCTGAGAACTCCCTGACAATAGGTTATCTCACAGCTTCTTGTTTTTATCTCGGGTGTGTGTGCACGTTCCTGGGCACGTGCAAGCCCACATAATATTAATTTACCTTTACATTTTATTTTATAGTTTTTCTGCTTTGATTTAACCCAGAATTGCACTGTTATGGAGAGACTCCGACGGGCAATTTGAAGACTCTTTTTCATTTCGTTTGTAAGAGTGCGTATACTTTCTAAACACGGGCGAGCCTTTTCCTTTTCCATTTTGTTGTTTACGAGCTTTCTGATCTGCCTAATGCTTTAGATCCACCCCCATTGTAACGCACTGATTTAAAACTGTTCAAGGATGAGATTTGAAATACTTTGTATTTTGGCTGAGTTTAGATTTGGTTTTTGTAATTATTGGCATTCCAAAAACTAGGCAATCTCACACTACCCAGGTTTCGTTGACAGCATCCCGCCTACAGATATTATTAGCACGTGCCTTCACACTCCCATCTGTAATCTCAAGGTCTCTACAATATAAAAGTGAAATGATCAAGAACTTGTGAGATGACTGGACGTTTTTATTCTTTACAAGCACTCAGTGACGCCTAGACACTTTGACAAGGCGGTCTGTTAGCTTCTGATTTGGTCCACAGTAATTTTACCGGCACGTGCCAGTTAACAACCTCCTACACTTGCTCTAGACTCCATTCTGTCCTATCTGTCACGTGCAACTTGTCCTTCGTAGGAGGACTCAAAACAAGTTATTGATTTGATTAAGAATGGCAAACAGTTGGGAATTTTTTTATCGCAAACATCCATTAGTGTTTTCTACACAGGACCCGTTCGTTCCACTATCAGAATAATTTTGAGTATTGGGAATATAGTTAAAATGGGAATCCCCAATTCTCTCCCGACAGTATATTTCCATTTAATCTCGACCATTTGTCGTTATCACTGGTTTAAAAAACCAGGATGTGTCTCCAATATAGAATGCCATGCCTCCATCCATGCGAATCAAGCACAAAGCAACGGCATATGTCCATGATAATCTACATACAAATCCCATCCAGTTTTTATAGACATTTTGACAGCAACACCAACAAATCATCTCCCGTGGTTTGCCAGGCTGGACTCTGCAACTCAACTCAAGGATCTTAGCATAAAGACTTGTCCAATAGGATTCTAATCAAGACTTATTTGAAATTATCCTTTGAATTTTTTTTTGATACAATAGGTCGAAAATCCTCAAAATGGAATCCACTAGTGAGCTTATTACATGCTATACAGTCCATTATTACTTCCATTATTATAATTACTTTTATTCTTATTTGTAATAATAATAATCATAATTGATATTATAATCATTATTTGTAATTGCTTGGTTGTTGTTGTTTTAAAACCATTTATTTCAGTCTTAAAGACAGAAAGGTATGAACGTTTTGATTTTTAAAAATCAGTAGTTTGGATTATTATAAATTATATGAATAGTATTGCGTTATCTATTTTGCCCAAATCCTGTGGCTGTGCTTTTCTGTAGTTATACTTCTTTACCTGCTCCCACTCACTCACAGTATTATTATCTCTGTAACCAAGGTTTTGCCTTTTCAATCTTCCTTGAGCAGAAACAAGAGAACAGTATTCGGTTTTAAATTCTATCAATGTTATACTTTGCTTAAAGTTGTAAGTATGTATACATCATCAGTATTATGCATTCAACTTTTCTCCAAATATGAATGTTGAAGCACCACTTGACCGTTTAGAAGTGTGTTATTATCTTATTTCTTTGCATATGATTTCATCATCTGAATGGTTTTCCCTATCTATTCTCAAGATATATTAGGTAATATGAATTCTGGAAGAAAGTTTCATAATAATAAGTTTATAGAGTTTCGGCGTATTTGATTTTACTGAACGAAGAACATGTTTCGAAACACATGGACATATTCTTAGTATTATTTGAGCAATTTGGAATCCGTTTCTCTGTCTTTTGAACATACCAGGATTCCCTTTCCCCTCTCCTCCATATTGTGATGTAAACACAATATTATATATTTATGTGTGATATTCAGTAGCTGCCTTTACGATGCACTAAATCTGTTCTTCTGTTCTACCGACTCCGTCCAAATCAGTATTTTGTTCTCATTTGTTCCTTGCAATAAGTATTACAACAGTGTGTGAAATCATGAACTCCAAACAATAAAGTGAAGTTTGAACCAAAAAAAAAAAGAAGTCAAGGAAGATTTTGTTGAACTGAAGTGTGGTTCTTCTGTTGCAGTTAATACGTAGCTGACTGTTCGATATGGGTGGCTCGTATTCAGATCCCCTGTAAAACTTGAAAGGTGTGAATTGGTAGGGGAGAAAAGAGGGAAAGAGGGGGTGGGGGGAGGATTGTCGCCCAGTTGGCTTGATCATGTCGAAGATGAAAATTTAGCTTGGACGTCCTATATTATAACCTTTAACAGTCCAGCCATGGGTTGAAAATGGCTTTAAACTGATGGCAAAGTACACGCTGTAATGTAGCCTACTTCACTAGTGCGAAAATCGTTTTTGTTTTTGTTTTGTTTGTTATACAATGTCTTTCCACACTTCTTTTTTAATGGAGGTATTTTACACCCCCATCGACTCAATTTGGATCATTCAAGAGGCGGGCTTTTCGATCCTTCCTGTTAGGGCAAGCTCGGGTGGAGAGAGACACCACACCCGAAAAAAACACCAAGGTACTAGATAAAATAAAGATTTTTCCTACATCGGAATCAAACTCGGGGAACTCAGGTCTTCTGCTTCAGACAGCAAAGCGCCTCAGCTCTACAACTGTACACTGGCGCCGGTCCCCCTCTCATTGGGCCTATTAGTAGAAAATAACAGATAGTACGCCATGCAGTTCATGTAAACCTGGGGCCCAATTCGAAACTTACTTGAACTAGTAGGCGTATCCGGGGGTCTCTGCTTTCTATGGGGCACATCATGCTCAAAAGATGCTCTCTGAGATTTGGAGTGGAAAAAAGGTTTCTTTGTTTTGTTTGGGTTTTTTTGGGGGGGGTTTTGTTTGTTGTTTGTTTGATTGTTTGATTTTTTATATATTTTTTTTATTTTTTATTTTTTAT